TCAACATGTCATGTTCAGGAACTAAGAAAACCAGTCACACCCTGTCCATGCTTTACCATCTGGTTCTGGATAGGTTTCTTAAAACAAAATCTTAAAACAAGAAAATCATCTCATCGAAGGCAGCACTGGGGAAAAGGAACAAGAAGGAAATACCTGAAGAGGTGGTGTAACAAGTCTGAAAAACACACAACCTGCAGTGACTTCTGATGCAAAAAGCTAATTTGTTTATATATTTCTAAGCAGAAATAAAAATAAAGTAGGTTCAAAATGCACTGATCAGCCATATCCACATATTTTGGTACTGTCCAGTTATTCTGCATTTTTTGGAGAAAGTGGGATATTTAAGGTCAGAGACAGGTGTTTAATATTTTTTTTATAAGGATAATCGCCTTTATTGCCCAAGTATGTGCTATTTTTGCCTTAAGGTTTTAACGTTATTGTGTATCACAAGATATACTACATGGTTACACTCAGAATCTGCTATTGGCCAGGTGTGTTAGACATACAAGGAATTTGACTCTGGTACATCGGCTCTCAATGTGTATGTACATATCCCCATGCAAGGGGTAAGTAAACTGTAAACCAACATAAGGCTGTGTAGTATAACAAAATAAACAGTATAAACAGGCAGTAAACAATGCAAACAAATAAAGGAATGTTCACTGTGAAACAAAATAAATAGGAATAAAAATAGAGACCTGTACAGATCTGTATAATCTGTACAATGTATATTTACAGGTATTACAATGAGGGGTATTGTCCAGTCATCCTGTCTTGGGTCAAGTGACAGCCGAGGGGAAGAAACTGTCCCTGTGCCTGGTTGTCTTGGCGCACAGTGACCTGTAACGCCGTCCAGGGGAAGAAGTCTGCAATGATCCTCTCCGCCCTCCTTTTGACCCGTGTGGTGTACAGGTCCTCCATGGAGGGCAGGCTCACACCAATGACCTTTTCTGCAGTCCTGACTGTCCACTAAAGTCTGTACTTGTCCTGTTTGGTTGCTGAGCTTTTACTTTTGATAGTAAAATACTTTTGATACTTTATGTACATTTTACTTAACATACTCTCTTAACCTTACACACTTTAAAAGTTGAATATAGAGACCTTAGCTGTACATACCTCCACCCTCCACTCTTGGAATCACTGCAGTTCACACATGCAAACAAAGTATTCTATTTTGGTGCCCAATCTATTGTCTTCATGTGTTCCACACTCTAGGTGTTCAGAAAGAGGTGTGTTCATCATATGCATATCACAGCCTCAAGGCTCGGGGGGGATACTTGATTAAAATATCTGGCTTTTACTCTGGGGGGATGCAGGACATTTTTTTCACCTATATGGCTGGGTTTAACCCAGGCAGTAAGATCATTTAAAGATCAAGGGGAAGATCAAGTTTCTGGAATAACCAGATAAATAAATAAACATTAGTAAACAAACAATAAAAGCCTGCAAAAACTGATAAAATCCCTGAAGCAGAGAAGATATAAATATCTGAACCTGAAGGATCTATAATCTCAGAAATGCCACGCAGTCAGGTTTATTTTGAAATGATTTCCAGCAAATGTCTTGCTTGACTGCAGCTCAGCTCCTTTTTTACCACGACACACCGATACATCGACCGCATTACTACAGAAGCTGTACCGATCCGCTTGTCAATCTCCTCTTCCATCCTTCCCAAGATACTTGAACTCCTCCACTTGAGGCAGGAACTCTCCACCATCCTGAAGGGAACAAGCCACTTTTTTCCGACTGAGAATAATGGCCTCAGATTTGGAGATGCTGATTCTCATCCCAGCTGCTTCACACTCAGCTGC